GCAGTCCACAGCCCGCTGTGTTCTTCCTGCCCAGGGCAGGCCTGGGAGGAGTTCCTGTCCTGCACCAACTCTGGCCTGTAGGCTCGTCAAGGACCAGTCACAGGAGAGGATGGGCAGGCCCTCTCATTGGACTTCACAGCACACCTGTGCCCATTTCACAGATGGGAACACTGAGGGTGCAGCCACAAATGGCCAAGTGCAAGGGACAGGTTAGAAAACCCATACAAAAGAAATTTGTGCGGCCGTTAGGAATACGATTTTGAGGAATAGTGACATGGGAAAATGTTTGAGGTAAGATGTGAGTAAACCAGAGAAAGATGTAAACTGTATACAGCATGTTTTATTTTTGAAACAGTACCTTACGAATGTGCTACAATGGACATGTATTCCCTCAAATTAAGAAAAAAACGTTAATTTGAAGAAAATCGAGAGATTGACTAAGCTGTCCTCAGTCGCACAGTAATCAAGCTGCCAAGCTGACCGTGTCTCCTCCAACCTAGAGAACGTTGCTTCTCAGGATGAACCTGGGATCAAAGGACAAACTTGCCTCTTTAAAAAAAAGAAAAAAAAATTTTTTAAAGGTCCACAGATATCATCTGTACTCCCAGCTAACTCCACTGGGTTTTATGAGGCAAAAATGACTCATGAATTTCTGTGAAATATCCAGAGAGTGTTCTAATTTAAATGGCCCCTGACCACCACCGACACACTCCCATTGGCGGGTCGACCAGGGGTCACCTGGAAGAGACAGCAACTCTTGGGGGAAGGAGCCTCCTGAGGCCGCCACGGGCCAAGGAGTGGGTGTGGGTGTGGGGAGGGGAGACAGGAAGCTGGAGCTGCCCAGAGATGGGGGGAGGTGATGAAGCTGAGCCTCTGGAAGCACCACTCTCACTCTGGTCTGCTTAGGACCAGCAATAAAACTGGGGTCAGGCAGGAGGGATCGGGCATCTCCCCACAGCACCCCTCTGAGGTGGGCACTGTTACCACCCCCATTTTACGGACCGGGAAACTGAGGCTGGTAGAGCTGAAATGGCCTGAAGTAACACGTGGCAGCACTAGGTCTTCAATAACTCACCTTAAAATGCTTACGTGCGGGCGGCGTGGCCCAAGTGTGCATAGACCTAGCCTACATCCTAGGGGTGAGTAGGTGTGGCGTGGAGGGCACTGACGTGGGTCCCCACTCCAGAAGCAGCTGTGGGAGAGGGTCTGTACCTCAGCACTGCTGACATTTGGGGTCATTCTTCACTGTGGAGGTTGTCCTGCGTATTTAGCAGCTACCCTCCCACCCCTTGATGCCAGGAGCTCTCCACCCTCCAGTTGTGACAACCAAGACTGTCTGCAGACACGGTACTGTCCCCCAGGGGCGGGGGCTGGGTGCAGAATGGTGGCCGATGGGAAGGACCGGGTTAAAGGTTAAAGGCAGCTTGTCAGATCTGCACGAGAGGGCTGGTGAATTAACGTGCTGGGTGTCAGGAACGATTTCTCACAGGTGAAAGGAGTAGTGTTGTAGATACTCTATTCCGTTGGCTACGAATGTTGTTCGGGCTCTGTCTCCTGACATGAATAGGGTGTGGGAACCTGGGGGCCCCGGCAGCCCAACATATTCAGAAGGGGCCCTGGGCCTACAGCTCCCACTGGGCCTCTGCCACCCCCATCCTTCACACGCACGTGTGCACACACGCACACACGCCAGGGTATGGATGAAAGCCTGGAGGCCTGAGCGTGAGGCCTTGAGCTTGGAGTAGAGGTTGACCTCCTCCTTGGGGGGTGTTTGCTGTAACGTCAGAGTTCTGCGTGAGACCTGCCTTGATCGTAACCCCCTACCTGGAGGCCAGAAGAGACCCAAAGGCTACCTACCTTTTTAATCCCAAAGACCCTGACTGCCGATGAACGCACACGCTGGTTTGGGGCAGCTCAACACAGGCAGGGTTTGGATTCAAACCCAGGCAGGCAGAACTCTGCTGGCCACGCGGGCCAACCAGTCCACCCTGGATGAACCGCCTGGAATTCTCGGTAATCTTGGGGACACAGACCTTCCCCCTGCCACACAGCTGGACATCAGAGCCCAGGAGTCTCTCTCCAAACCAGCCAAAAGGACTGGGAAAGAATTCTGTTCCTGACTGCTGTCTGTGGAACAAGTTAGGGCCAACTTCTCCACTAGGGATGGGGGCACAGTGCACAGGCCCCATGAAAACATGAGGATTACTTTTAAAATCAGAAGACTACAAAATGAAATTTTAGGTCAAAGAGAATGTTTTATTATATAATGTAAAATTATATTATTTATATATATTAATAGAATGTATTTTATTTTATAATACATCCATCTTTATACCAGTCACAATATCCTATACTATTTAATATTTTTTATGCAGGAATTGTCCCCGGATGGCCAAGGTGCTGGGGGTGGGGTGGGGATGGCACGAAAGTCATCACGTGGCCCTGCCCTTGGCCCTCTCCTAGCCCCGCCTCCAATCTGTCTGCCTCTAGATCAATCCTTCCACCTCCTGCCCTGCCCTTGGGCTCTATATCCAGCTCCCTCCCACACAAGTCTTTATTATGCAAATCAGATTCACCCTTCCTTCCTGTCTCCCCCTTTCTCAGTTTTATCTCCCCCTTCCCTACTCCCAAGTCCACTGGGCCTGACTCCCCAAGATGGAAGAGCTAAGAGAGCCAGGCCGGACCTTGCACTTGACCCAAATCAGCTCATTTGACCCTCAGTGAAATGTAGTGCTGCAGGTTCCACTCCATCCCATTCTGGTTTTGGGGTCTAATGAATTTGAGTTTTGGCTTCTGGCCTGTGCTATCAACCGCAGACCTCAACTTCCAGTTCTCTAAAATGGACTCAGTGGTTCCTAGGTAGAAGTTATGCTTGGACATGATTCCTAGTGAGCTCATGCATGCTTCCATATGTACATTATCCTTAGAGCCTTCTTTTCTGGAACTTACAAATTCATATTCCTTTGTACAGTTACCTAGTTTTTGGGTTTTTTTTTCTGTAGTCTGCATTGCGTGGTATGTGGGATCTCAGTCCAGAGATTAAACCCGGGCCCCCTGCATTGGGAGTGCAGAGTCTGTTTTTAACCACTGGACCACCAGGGAAGTCCCCAGTTATCCACCTTGATCTCATTGATTTATAGGGGCTATTTATAAATCCTGGATTGGTGATCTTTTCTTAATTTTCTCCCAGCCCTTCACTTACCTTTTACCTTGCTCTTAATGAGGTGTGCGTGCGTGCGTGTGAGTGTGTGTGACAGAAGCTCCAAATATTTACGTGTCTGGATCTGTGAACATTCCTTCTATGCTTTAGAGTTTAGAACCTGCTTTTTCCACCTCGAAAATTGTTTCAGATCTGTGGACCACTGAAGTGTAGTTCCCTGGGTGAGAATTTTGTCTTGCTGGCAGCCGGGCTGTAAGACCCTCAAGGGCATCGCTCTCCCCCTCCTTGGTCAAGAGACTTCACTCTGCACCGTGCTTCTCAGAAACACCCGGAATCTGTCCCCTTTTTCCACCCCTACCCCAGGACCAAGCCCCATCACCTCTCGGGTCTCCACTGGTCTCCCCGCCTCCACTTGCCCTGAAAACTGGAGTGAGCTTTTAAAAATGTCCATCTGTTTCTTATACCCCACCCCAGATTCGGGGCTTCTGGGAACTCTTAGTATTAAAATCTCACCCCCGCACCACACCCACAAGGCCCAGAAGGAGGTGGTGCCTAAGGACGGAACCCAGACAGGGACAACGGAGCGCTCCCTGCCCACTGCCCAGGAAGGCAAGAGCCCCCTTCTCACCCCTCAAACATTAATCACAACCAGGTCTTGTCATGGTAAAGGCAGGGCCAGGGGCTTGGGGGACCAGGGGCTGGAAGGTGGGAGGGATTGCAAAGCCTTTACATAATCCATCCTATTTCCACCCTCACCCCATTTACAGCTGAAGTACCCAGACCCTGAACCCTGATGAAGATCCGTAGCCCAGCAGTGCTGAGTCAACCTCCTGGAATGCCCGAGGCTCCCCAGCCAGCAGGCCCTGGGACTCCTGCACAGGCATGTGGGCCAGTGGAGTGGGACTGTTTGCTAATAGAGGCTGTTAACAACACGAGAAATGTTCAAGGGGTCAACAAGAGATGAGCCATCTGGTTGTCCCAAGGTAAACAATTTACAAGAGAAAAGTCAGGCCAGCTTGCCGTTCTGCTTTTTCTTTTGACAGTGCGAACGTGCAGTGTCCTTTTCCCCTTGGTGCCGACGGGAAAGACAGAGGCTGTCCCAGGCACCCTGGCCTCAGCTCCAGTGCCTCCCAGGAGGGGCAAAAAGGCAGGAAAAGTCGGATTTTTTTTCCACACCTTTTCTTGCCCCATTCTCAGGACTGAGTGATTTCACACCAACTGGTTAATCCACATTGTAAGGAAGGTAGGTTTCATCCCAAAGAAACAGACTTATTTTCAAGCACCCCAAAGCCTTGAACTTAGAGAATCTTCAGCCTGAAATTTATTTCCTGTTGGAAGAAGACCCCTACTGGTCTCCCCAGGGATTGCAGCCCTGCTCTACCAACCGCTACAAATGCGCACCCGAAAGTGAGAGAGGGTCTCCGTTCTTGCCATTCAGAGTGAAGCCAGTGGATTCCCAAGCATGCGGAATACACATGTGGCTTAATAGCCTGAAATAAACAGATTGTGCTGAAATTATAATCCTGGAGTTTCCAAAAGTGTTGCAAAACATTCCAGGCAGACACTGGAGTTAGTATACTACAAGCTGTTTATCAATTAATTCCTTCTTTGCCAAACATTCTTACTTGGGTCTACGGGGAGATGATTTTGGTGGGAGTGAATCTCTGATTTTGTAATGAAAATCACCAGGGAAAAAGGCTTGCTTTACAGAGGCTCATGTTACAGAAAATGTGGCTGTAACAGGTAGTTCCCATAAGAACATAGCTAGTACTAACTTTTGAGCTCATGTAATAAAGAAAAGTGACATCTGGGGACTAGGATTTGGGGTCTTTGCACTAACCTGTGAGATACAGAGCCACACATTCACATGGAGGAGGATGAGTACAAGTCTTGGTGTCAAAAATCTTGTTCAAGTCCAGCCTTTGCCTCCTTCTAACTATGTGACTTGGATAAGTCACAAACTCTGAGCCTCAAGTTTTCTCATCTACAAAATAGAAACCATTGAAATTAGTTACCTTACTTTACAGTTTCCAGGATGTGGGGTTTTCTTCTCCTTGTTAAGAGGAAAAACCAAACCGTAATTTATGGCCTTTCCTACAGCTTTGTGCTGCTAAGGTTAGAGACCTGAGGTAGTATCTTAGTTTTCTGTGGCTGCCATAATAAAGTACCATTTAAACAACAGAAATGTATCGTCTCACAGTTCTGGAGGTTAGAAGTCCAAAGTCAAGGTGTCGGCAGGACCATGTTCCCTCTAAAGCCTCTAGGAAAGAGTCCTTCCCTATCCTTCCCTGGTGGCACAGTGGTCAAGAATCCGCCTGCCAATGCAGGGGACACGGGTTCGAGCCGCGGTCCGGGAAGATCCCACATGCCGCGGAGCAAGTAAGCCTGTGCGCCACAACTACTGAGCCTGCGCTCTAGAGCCCGAGAGCCACAACTACTGAGCCCGTGGGCCACAACTACTGAAGCCCGCGAGCCTAGAGTCCGTGCTCCCCAACAAAGAGAAGCCACCACAATGAGAAGCCCGTGCACCGCACCTAGAGGAAGCCCGCGTGCAGTAACGAAGACCCAACACAGCCAAAAATAAATAAATTAAATAAATAAATATATTAAAAATAAGAGTCCTTCCTTGCCTCTTCCAGCTTCTGGTGGTGGCCCTTAATCCCTGGCCTTCCTTGGCTTTCGGCTGCATCGCTCCAGTCTCTGCCTCAAGGGCCACATGGCCTTCTGAGCATTCTGTCTTCACCAGGCATTTCTCTCTAGTTATAAAGACACCATCATTGGATCAAGGCCCACCCAGAAGACCTCCTCTAAACTTGATTACATCTGCAAAGACCCTATTTCCGAACAAGATCACCTTCGCAGGTACAAGGGGGTAGGAATTCAGCATATCTTTTGCAGGGGGACACAATCCAACCCATAGCAGGTCGAAAACACTTTGTTTAGCCCGGCAGCTTAATGAGCTTTGGGATGTGCTAAGGTGGGGTCCAGGCATTGGTGGGGTGGGGGAAGAGATGCTGGACTGTTACCTGTAAGAAGGCACTGACATGTGTGTGTTGATGATTGACAGCTGGAGACAGGGAAGGCTATGGGGGAGGGGAGGGGAGAACAGAACATAGGACATTTTCCAGGCAATGGGATTTTAGGATGGTGATTCCAGACTTTACTTCCAAGTGTGCTACCCCTGGTTTCCCATTACGCCAAATTCTATGGACTTTCTTCCCAAGAGCTCCCTGTTTGCCTTTTTCTAGCCCACTGCCTTCAGTCTGCTGGGACTGGCCCAGAGCCCCACCATCCCCTCACTACGGAGAGGACAAGAACCTCGCCAGGCTAAGCAGACACAGCCTCCCTGGGAAGGGAAACTGGAGTCGAAGGACAGGAGACAGAACATGTTGGATTTCGTTCATTCTGGCTTCGGTGAGTCCCTGACTGCAGTGTCTATCATGAGACCGTCTTGGGTTCCTGAGCCCCTAGTTCAGGCCATTTCCAGTCCTGTTTTTCTGGATCCTTTCAGTGACCCCCCACTCCCCATGACCTTCCAGGAGACCCCCTCAGCTTAAATTAGGCAGATTCTTTTGCACTGGCTCACCACAGACCTCTCCAAAGGCCGCTCTCCCAGCAGCCTTGTGTCAGCAAAACTTTAGGAAAGATGAAAGAATTGGAGCAGCAACCAGCATGGAATAAAAGGGAAAAAGACAATTTTTTGTCTTTTTTTTTTTTTCACATACCAAAACCCAGATATTTAATCAGGTAAACAAAACTATTCTAAATATACTTTTATTTTTTGATAAATATTGATTTATAATAATCCTAAGCATTTTTTTAATCTTAAAAAATAACATCCAAAAACTTCAAATGAACTATATTTTAGGATCAGCTTGTCTTTATCTTGAAGGTTGGTTTTTAACCACCTTTGCATCCAGGGGTCCATTATCAGAACACAGCATAGGGCTCTGTCCCTTAAGCATGTCCACATCACTGACTGACAGACCTACTTCCAGCCAAACAGGCTCTTTCCCCTGTACTCTCAGTGTGGCTGTTGCCTGCCCCAGGCCTGTGAAACTCCCTAGGACTGTCTTTTCCTCTGGGAGGGTCAGACTCACCTCTGATTAGTGATACTTCAAAATGATGGTGTCAAAAGGAAAAACAGAAGTGGCTTTTAATTCTTGAGCTGTTAACACTGCTCAGGAAAATGCTTTCTGAGGGAAATGAACACAGCTTTGCGTATCTTGTTCTCCTAAAAATAATAGTGAACAGAATTGTGCTCTTGGTAATCTGATGCAGATTTGAGTTTGTGCCTTGAATTCTTTCCAGTGAATCCAATCACCTTAGGCCTGCAATTTTCTATAGATCTGACAAACAGATATTCCAATCTCCCAAACTCCTTGGTTTACAATAGTTCTACCTACCCGTAAAGCCCTATTGGCCTTCTAACAATGATGACTGTTAACTGTCCCTCATCCTCCTCGAGCTGCAAAGCTGGCTCTTTCCTTTTTAAAATTGCATCCAGCATTTTAGGAGAAGAATGAAATATTTTTTAAAAATTAACATATATCAGCACAAAGCTATCTAGAAATGTTAAGACCCTCGAGAATCCTTGGGGATAGTGTGTGGGGGGCAGGGATTTCCCACTGGGGTCTTGGGCTCTGGTTAATATTAAGGGGAGGGGTACCCCACAAGAAGCCTGGCAGATGTAGGCACCCAGGGGCTGCCGCTCAGGGCACCCACATGAGTCCTGTGCCTGGCGCATGGAGACGAGGAGCAACGGTGAGCACCGCTTGACACGTGGCCCTCTGGACAGCGTGGCCCCCTCTCTTTCAGCCAGAGCACCGCAGCCTCAGCCAGACGCCCTCCCTGGTCATGGGGTTCTTCCTGCACACATGCTGTTTTGATTCTGTGCCCCTCAGTCTTTACTCGTTTTCCTGCCTAATGAGGTGAGCTTCACCCAGCCCAGCAACAGTTCCTGTAAACGCTGGAGCTTCTATGACCCAACGTGGTGAGTTTGCAGGGAAGCACTCCCCGAGGGCTGGGCTGGCTGGAAAGAGATGCTTCGCCCTTTCCAAGAACGGTAATGAGGTCTGAGGGTTCTGATGGCAGGCAGGGGTGCTGTGGGCTCCAAGAGCCCTGAGCTGGCTTGGGGTCAGAAGATTTGGGCTCCAGCCCCAGACACGCTAACTAGGCGTCTGTCTCTCTCCTAGGTAAAACGGGGATAATGCTCATACCTCACGGCATCGCTGTTGGGCTCCAACTGGATTACAGATGTAGAGTAAGTCTGGAAACCATGATGCTCTGAGCAAGTGAAAGGAAGTATCACCGTTCCTGTGGCCATTACTATTATTAGAACCTAAGATCTTCCGTGGCCAGCAGAATATCATGATGACCCCCAGGACCTTTGACCTTGCATGAAATCCTCTCCCCTTTGAGTGTGGGTGGAACCCGTGAATATCAGGACATATGACTCCTGTGAGTAGGTCACCTTTTATGGCAAAAGGGAGATTATCCTGCCCAGGCCTGACCTACTCAGGAGACCCCTGAAACAGGACCGGCTCTTCCAGGCAGAAGAGGTTTAAAGCATGAGAGGGACTCAGTGTGAGAGAGTCTCCATTGCTGGCTTTGAAGATGGGAGGGGACCACGTGGCCAGGAAATCGGAAGCCTCTAGAAGCTGAAAGTGGCCCCGGCTGACAGCGAGTAAGGAAGCGGGACTTCAGTCCTACAACCACGTGAAACTGAATGATGCCAACAAGAGTGGTCTTGCAAGTGGATTTGTCTCCAGACCCTCCACACAAGAACTCGGTCTACCCAGTCTCTTAGACACCAACTTCCGTCCTCCAGAGCTGGGAGCTCATAAATGCGGTTGCACTGAGCTGCTGAGTTTCCGGCAATTCGTTACATAGCAATAGAAAACCAATCCGCCCCCTGTGAGGAAGGCCTTAAAGTGGAAGGCTCCTCCACCATCTCCCTCCCAGTGTGGCCTGGACAGTAGAGACGAGGTTGGAGACCTGACTGTCCTACTCGCTGGCTGTGTGGGGGTGGCTGCAAGACCTCCCTCACAGCCCAGAACGTCAGTTTGCTCATCTGTGAAATGGGGATGGAAATTAAATGCACGTAAAGCATCAGACTACGTCATAAGGGCACGTAGTAAATGCTTAAGAAATGGGGATGGAAATTAAATGCACGTAAAGCATCAGACTACGTCATAAGGGCACGTAGTAAATGCTTAAGAAACATGGGGATGGAAATTAAATGCACGTAAAGCATCAGACTACGTCATAAGGGCACATAGTAAATGCTTAAGAAACATGAATGTTGTACATGATAATGATTAGAAATCAGCTGGTGGCTGACAGCTAACAACAGTGGGCCTGTGGTTGTCAGAGCTCTGCCCCACACTAGGGGCACAGGAATGAGCCCCAACCCGTGTCCTGGGAGTCAGGACCTGAAAGTCACAACTTTGGAAACAGTGGGTGGTATGTGCCCAGCGTTCTTGGCGGGGTGAAGCCCAGGTCTCGAGCTCTGAGCCCCCCTCGGAGTCTGGTGCAGGCCTGGGAGTGCTTCGCTCCTCAAGACCCCCTTTGCTCTGGCTTCCCTGAGGAGGAATTCTGCTGCCTCACTCTGTCCCCCTCCATCTCAGTGAAGCCCAAGGCCGGGGCCTGTTCTCATGAGGAAGAAGCTCGCCCTGGACCCAGGAGGAGAGGTGGGTCCAGTCTCCGAGTTCTGTTCCTGGCACTTGCCCTTACCAGCCCCATCACACCCCAAATTCTCCAAGCTCCAAACCCTGGGGCCCCTCTCTGACTGCCCTTCTCATTCCCTCCCATCCTCAGAGCAGCTGCTGAAGCCCCCGCACCCTGGCCCCAATTAATCCTCCCGCCTCTGTTCCCACTGACCCCAGTTCCAGCCACAGGAGGCCAGAGTAAGTTTCTAATTAAACGCAACTTGGCTGCTGGGGTTGCAAGTCAAATCCACAATGAGATACCACTTCACACCCA